TAATGATCTAGGTCTATCAGAAGCCATTTTAAATGACTTCACTCTTTGATTTGTCAAAACAACTCCCAGGTAATTGTTTACACCTGCACTGATAATTTACTGGTACATCGGCATTGTTTATGTAGATCCAAGCTTGGGTTGTAACTGGAAGTTGAAAGTGCAACCTAATTTACGAACCAAATCAGGAAATCGGGAGATTTTCGGGTTGTTTGGCAAAAATTGGGTGAAAAGCATGACCTGCCGTGTCATAAAAAATAATTGGGTTAAGGGTCGAAAAATTGGGTGTAACCCGAAGAAATCGGGTGAGTTGGAAACTATGCTTTTGTATTAGAAAAAATTGACAAACCTGTTGTTGCCACCTTTCTGTAATATGTTAGGGCAGTTTCGCATTTCCTCTCTACACCTACCCCAGACCAATATCTGTAACCCTGTAAATTTAATGTATGTATATGAAAAGAAAGATAACTCTTTATTTAAAAAACATCAGCTTTAAACTCTCACACAACATACCAAGGCCATTTGAGATAAAGGATCTCCTCCAAGTGCAGCGAAAGTGAAGTATACAAGGGACTAAAAAAACAAAATCAATATTGATTAAGGCTAAATAAATCCATGTATCATTTTTGTACATATTCAAAGATCATGCAGTCACTGCAACAAAAGAATAATCTTTGTACTATGAAAAAATTGTAAATTTATAAATAACTAACTGTAGGAAAATGCATACCTTTGCCTGGCTGGAATTCACTCCAATGCCGGTGCTGTATAAGAATGCCAGACCCTGTCAAAAACAAAAACGACAGCTATCTAAGCTATGACTTCTGAATTAAACAAGCATTTTCTTTTCTATCAAACTCTAGTTGTATATATCTATCTATTTGGAAATCTGACTACAGTATATGTAAGTTTGATATCAATAAGATTTAATCAACATTGTCTTAAAATATGATCCCAACTTCACCTTTTTTTCTGAGTTTGAATTATACAGCCCAACATACCAGTTGTCCTTTAGGGGACCCTCTGGCTGCCAGATCCTGGAATATAACTTTAGCTTTTTCTATGTTATGTGGTAAGTAGTCTCCAAGAACATAAGCAAAAGCCACATGTTCCAGCGCCTGTGTGTGGTTCAATTTGGCAGCCAACTGGAAATATTCCATTGCCCTAATAATATAAAAATCAAAAGCCTTATAAGATTTCAATGGTGTCGAACATGAAAAACAATTTCAAAAGTTCTTTTTGAATTTGATATAAAATTTTATAACTCGACGTCATAACAATGTACAAAACAAACACTAAAATAATTAAAAAATAAATAACAATTTTTGTATTTCTATAGACTTCAGTGCATAAACATTTGGAGCCCCACTATTAGACTTACTGTTGGTGATCTTTGTTGTATGTTTGATTAATAAGAGCTTCTCCTTTATTAAAATATTCTTTGGCTAAAATAGAATAAAATATGCCAATTATAGTTAACATAATACTCAAAGTAGATACCTATATTTCATTTTAGAAAATTTCACCATGTGTAATGGAAATCTATCGAAAGTCATAGTATATGTAAATATGATTTTCTACAGAGAGACAGGCCAAGTTTGACTTCATGAACAATACTCTGATTAAATCAACTATTGTACCTGGGACACCCCCTCCCCCCTTCCTTTTTCAACACAAACCTTGAAGTTGTTCCTCCGTAAGTTCTTCTTGTATTTCTTCCTCAGTCTCCTCATCTGTAAATCATTGATTGACAATACTACCTTAATTTATCAAATACCAATATCATATATACTTAACACTTCAGAATCTATACAATGCGTTCAAACAAAATGACTTCGTATTTCAACTGTTAGGGAATCAGAACAATACACATGCATATTTTGAATGTTTAATCTCAATACACCTCATATAAAAAGAAGGAAAAAAAAAACTTTAACATTCATTAAAACTACATCAAAAGTGCTGAGGTTTCAGGGTTAGAAACTCCCTAAAATTACAACTCACAAATAATTGCGAGTACCAAGAAAGTGAACTCGCAATTTTATAAGACTACTCGCAATTTTCATATAAAGTTAAATTTATATAAATTAAATACATGTAACTTAAGGAAAAAGTAACTACTGTACAATACACAAAATACAACTACAGTGTGCCTTTTTTTTAAATTACTGATTTAAATCAAAAGCTTTGTGTTCTGTCATATTATATAATTTTGCTACAGTTTCAATGCAAAAAAATCAACTCGCAAGTTTTTGCGAGTTACCTAATTTTTAACTCGCAATTTGGGAATTCTAACTCGCGTTTTGCGAGTTGTATATAGTGAATTTCGAACCCTGGGTTTAATAAAACATGTGAGTTAGAGATAATCTGAAACAGAAACCATAAAGACTACTAACAGACTGGATTGCAAAGCAATGATAAATTTGATCAGATGAATCACATCTTTCATTTCAATTATGCCAAGTTCAAGGTCAAAGTTCATGAATAAAAAGTTCTATGATTGAAGGGGATATTGTAAGCTCTCATCAATTTTTCCTTTCTACTTTGCTTTGCTTTACAACCTGGCCATAAACAGTAAAAACGTTATAGGACAACAAAATAAAATACACATTTAGAACTCAAAAAGCATGGAAAGAAATTAAAAAGAAAGGCTGAATTCACATTTTTATTTTAAAAATATTATACAACTTTGGTGGGAAAGGTAAAAGAATATTAATTAGTTTATAAACAAATCCCATTTCAAACAAGTTGAAAGAAACAACACTCAAATCCTTTGTTACAGTGCGATTCCCACTTCCTTCTAAAGTCCCTTATGTGTGCACAAAAATGGAAATTCATAGAGAGGAAGTGAAGAACATTCACACTGATTTACCTTGTGTCATCTCCTCTAAACTCATGTCAACATCCTCTAAATTTCTGTCTTCATTCCCTTCCTGAGATGTTGTGTCAGTATCCTCCTCCCCCTCATTATACCCCTGGTCAGTATTCTCATACATCTGCATGTCATCCCTATCCAAAAAGCTCTGACCTGTGGGATCTTCCTGTGCAGGACTCTGATTTTCTAAGATCACCCCTCTGACTTCATGGAACTCATTATACTCTGTAGTAACAAGGCCATTGCTATGCTTTGTCTGCGTATATCTCTCTACTTTGACTTTTCCAAATTCATCAGGTTTGTACAACACGGTTGTCTCTTTAACATTCTTTTCCAAAGTACTAAACACCTCTTCTACTTTGTTCATATCTAGTTCATCTACATCAAATGGACTGGGAAATGCACTTTCTACTTCCTCATCTTCTATAACATGATCAGCCTCCTCAGTAACAATGATTTCTTCCTTATCCTTGGCATTATCCAAATCTGGAAGTCTCCCATGAACTTCTCTGAATTTCTGAATCCTCTCAAAAATCTCATCACTACTTCCCAAACTTTCATCTTTACTTTCTGATTCTCCTTGGCTTTCTGTCCTTTTCTCTTTGATTTCTGATTCCCTCGCTTCATAATTCTCTTTCTCTGGGTCTGATTCTTGATGAAAATTAATGGTGCTGAGATAACTACTGTCCTCCATAGGGCTATTTTTCTCCAAGAGGGAACTTTGGCCCTCAATCTCATTGACCTGAATATTGGATGTATCACTTGTTTGACTAAGTTTTTGATTGCCTAATGGAATTTTGTTGTTGAAATTTTCTTCAATGCTGCCCTTTTCATTTGCTGTTGGACAAATACTGCTTTTTATTTTAAATTATCTTGATTTCTTACATATGTGATGTTCATAGAAAAGTTTCACAAAATAATAAAATTGAAATATATCCACAAGAAATAAACATGAAACGGCAAAAAAAAAAAAAAATCCTTTGAGTAACAATTATGCAACACTTAATATAACTACATGAATAATTCTTTTAAATGGGGAGTGTGTACTTATCAATTCATCTTTTTTGTAACTTTATCTATGTCTTGTCATTGTACCTGGCAAACAAAATGCAATAAATAAGCCCTCTCAGTTGTTTTTACGTACACAATATATTTTGTCTATACTGGGTGCTAGTGGTTTCCAAGAATTTGGCAGGATTAGACAGATAGTAGATGAATAGGAGTTATTCCCCTTAGATTCAGTTTTGATAATGCTAGCAAATATTTTACCATGAATAGCTCATGTACAAAATGGTACAAATTGTAAAAATTAATAAAGATTGTGTTTTTTTTTTAAATGTACAAACATGGAATACATGCATATACTGACTTGTTTACACAACACTTCAAACACCCCCATAATCGTCCTTGTTACTGACCTCAACAATACTGGACACTCTTTTAATAGAATTCTTTTCATTAATGTACGTTGCTCAGAGTTCTGGAGCCAATTTAATATTTTTCTGCCTATTCCTTCTGATTTATTTTCAGCTAATATTTATAAAAATCATAAATTAGTTAATTTTTTTCTTTTAACAGCGTTTAAAGTACATGCTTTTCAATGTAGTTTTGTTGATGGTCCATATGTCATCAGAGACCTCTTGTGTGAAGTTTCCAATTAAATAAACAATATTTATGGACCAAAAAAAAAAAAAAAATACAAAACAATAAAAATTCAGGGGTTTTATTAAAAAGTTATGTTTATTAGAAATTTCAGTCCTTTTATTATTACTATTAAAGAAATACTATAGTCTAAATTTTGTACCAGAGAACTCGAAAGCAGGTTTGAACAAATGATACTGTACAAGTTGACAATCAGACCAGGGAGGAGTATTTGTAAAGTTTATCTATACAGGTTCAACACAGAACTTAAAATAACATGCAATAAAGTATTTTCAGCCCAATGTACCATACTACTGAACGTGCATCATCCTAGGGTTAGACAGGAATATCAGTTGTGTAGCAAGAAAAGAATAATTTAATTGGATTAGTGGTTTAGTAAAGGAATAATAGCATGATAAGGTTATTTAGTGTTCAGACATGTATATGGTTTAACTAGTTAGTACATGTTCTGGCTATTCACCAAGTTCCCACACCTACATTACTACAAAGTACTTATCACAGGTGATTACCTTCTAGGGACTGACTGTTCACTGGGGGTTGGACAGAGGGGTCATCCTCCACTGAGGGTTGAAAGGGGGAATTTTCCTCCACTGGAGATTTATCAGAGGGACTGTGCTTTACTGGAGATTGGATAGAGGGGCTGTCCTCTGATGGAGATGGGATAGATGGGTTATCCTCTACTGGGGGTTGGACAGAAGGCTCTGGAGGAGTGACTGTAGAGGATGGTTCTTTTTCAGATGACTCTATTTGGCCATTGTTAGGAAACAGTGGATTTTCTTGACCAGGTATGAATTCATTTCTTACATCTGAGAGCTGTTTGTTTGGTGATGGTACACTTTCTTCTTGAGCTGCATGTGGGATATTTGTCTTCCCTTCCTCTGTTTTATGTTTGGGGTTTGTGTCTAAATGAACTAGTTTTTTGTCCATATTTTCAGATGTAACTTTCTCATTTTCAGTATTGGTATTTGGACTTTGGGATTGCAATTTATCATTAGCTTTGTGCATTTGATCTTTTTCAGGACTATGCTCAGATCCTGAATAAACTTCTATATTTACATGCACACCATTTTCCTCTAGTACTGAGGATTCATCATTATCATTTTTTACATATCTATCAAGTTTTTCATCTAAATATGTTTGTGTGTCTGTTTCATAATTATTATTTCTTAATAAGTTTTTTGAATTATCTTTTTTCACATGTTCATCCATTTCATCTACAAAACTTTCAAAATCTTTAATAATATCATCCAAACCTGATTCATCCTTCTTCTGTTTTTTGTTCTCATGCTCTCCTTCATTAGCTTCTGTCACATGCATCACAAAACACAGAAACAACAATGAAGAAAGCACCACTACAGTCTTCCACTTGGTAAGATTTCCACATACACATTTTTTATTCCTTTCAGCCATTTTATCCCTTGTGTTATTTACACCTGAAATATATAGGTATCCAAAAATGAGAACACTATCAACATATAGAACTGACAGTACCTAAACTGTTGCACATCTTTAAAAATGTAGCTTTTGGCAATGAATATCACATGACAGGTACTGGTGTACTCAACATCTCTACATAAATACTTACTGAACCACTTAGTAAACAATACTGCTATTTTACTGATTATAAATCTGTTTTAGGTGCAATGGGTTTGTGTCTTGTGAATATTTACCCCGAGTTACTTCTTGTTCAAAAATTTTTCTATTTGGTTCGGTTTAGCTTATTTTGTGCTTGCAATTGGACTTTTGACATGTAACAAGGCTACATTTAACACTTTTACCAAACAATGAATAGACTCAATATTCTAAAAAAGAAAAATACATGAAAATTAATCAATATTCAATACAAACTTTCAGAATGACACACTGGCTGCGAACTTATAAAACACATTCCATGCTCATAAGACAGACCTTTCATATTTCAAGCAGTAGTAGTGGATTTGATTTTTTTGGTTGTTGTTAGATGAAATTGTTTTATATGCAAATTTGCTGTCAAGGGTGATGCTTTACCAGTGAAACAATTAAAAGAAATTAAATCATATAGATTTGACACTGTTGATGACTTACTCGGAATCTGTCCACAATAATATAAAATATAGCTGATCTTTGTCAACATTTTCTAAAGAACAAAAAAAGAAACATGCTTGGATAATATTACATCACACAGGCAATCAATTCATCCATACACTGGGTAGCAGGAGCAGAAGTGTTAGTATATAGACCTAAATCGAACCAAATACCAGAAAATATGAAACCAAACAGAGGAATGAAAATGGCATTTCATTTTTTTCTCTGCCAACTGTTGCAGCTCTAGTCCCTCTGCAATAATTCATCTAAAATGCAGAGTGTGAATTGACTCTGGACAAATAGCACCTCTTGCAAACAGAAACTGTGGGAAAACAAACAAGGGTGAACACAGACCCTGATTCTTTGAAATACAAAGGAATTAAAATCTGAAGCCTTGTTTAAAAAAGAAAGCCAAGTATTTACTGTGCTTATAAGAATGCAACACATCAACTGCAACCTTACTGGAACTTAACCAGTTGTTTACAACCATATTTTAATTTAAAGCATATTAACAGTAATTGTCGCTCTGTATAGTACAATACAATGTTGAGTATTAACTGGTACAGCTATTTGTAATTATAAGAATTTAACAATAAGCTGCACATAATCAAGATTTTATGAAAACGTTTCATAATGAAATCTAAAATGTCGATCTTACTACTGTCAACAGACACAATCGGCTCTACTTTTTCTGTTAACTTTACCTTATCAGTTAATTCCATAAATACAGTTATGAAATACATATAATATATGTTATAGCATATGTATGTTGCATTTTTCTGTCGGCTTGGGCTAAATTTCTCTGGTAACGCCACGTATCGATACCTTATTTTCAGTTTTGACGTCCATGTTTTTCTCCTGTATGTAAAACGCAAATTGATTGGCTGGAAATCAACCGGATGTCGATTCATTTAGCGTCCATTTACCTCAATTATTCCCATATCGACATATATCCTAATTATTTTCTGAATTGAAAAATAATAAATCTGGTTTTTTACAGGAAAAAATATGTTAAAACTTTCTAAATGTCTTTTTAAGATCGTAAAAACATAATTAGCCAATCAACTGAATTGTTTCAAACCAGCAGCATATATGGTAGCACAGATAGGCAACATGTAAAATTGATGCAAAAGTAACACAGGTTATCATTTTAAGATAAATAATTAAAAAAAAAAAGGTACTTTCGCAAGTAAGCATCAAGGAAAGCGCAAGATTTTCAAACCTGAAAGAGTGAACATTTTCATTCCTGACTTTCATTTAAAAAATGCAACTGGGATAAACACTGATAAATATAGTCCGAAATATCTGACGTTTTCCAGGCTTTTTTCACGATTTCATGTTTTACGTGCCAGGAAAACGTCAGAACCGGCGCTATTACGAAAACTGGAAATTTCACCGTCTCCCACCGGAGCTGATTTTCGATACTTTCGAACTGAATTAAATGCCGAACTTAGAATTTATCAGTAGCACAATACTTCTTGTATTCACTAATATCGATGAAAAGAAAACATCACTCCACATTTCGATACAGGACTTGCAAGATTTTAAAATGCACGAAATGAAAAGAAAACCCGACGGTCTGATAAAATGTTTTCACCAGACTGTATATTTCATAAACAAACCATAAAATCGATGTTGGCGAGTACTAAGGGCATTGTACTATTAATAAATTGTGGATTCAGCTTTTAATTCGGTTCGCAAGTATCGAAAATCAACCCGAAAAAAATGCCTCTTCCAGTTGGAGGCGGCGAATTTCCAGTTTTCGTAATGGCGCCGGTTCTGACGTTTTCCTGGCACGTAAAATATCAAAATCGTTAAAAAAGCCAGGAAAACGTCAGATATTTCGGACTATGATAAAAAGAGAATTCAGTGCGTTTGTTCATCAAATTGATTCATCGATATCTATTAGTGATCGATGATAAAAATGTACATTGTCTAGGGCTGGGACGATATATCGAGATATCGATTCAATGTGAGGATGATACGCATATCGATACATATGAAGAAATATCGACATATCGCCCAAAAAATTCTGACTAATGTTTTTCTTTGTTTACTTAACATTTTGGGTTTAATATGTAAAATAAATATGCTTAATATAAATATAAATATGAAATACATAATAATTAAGACCACTTGTGCAAAATAATTATGTTTTACAACAGATATACAACTTCTTTGAATAAATTGTTCTTATATGTGAAGAAATGTTTTGTTCACTTCAATATAAAAAAGGATTTATAACCAATTAAACATATCGTGATACATATCGTATCGTGGCTCAAATATCGGGATACGTATCGATATAGAAAAAGTTGTATCGTCCCAGCCCTAACATTGTCAGCAAAATGAAATGTCATCTCCAGTGAACCACGTCACATGTATGATTTCTGCAGACTATGCTACAGGGTGCGGTGATGGACAACGGCAATAAATGCAAAATATAGAAAAAAAATATCCTTGTGTCAATTACAGCTGTAGCATATTCAAAACAATTTTAACTAGTTTTACCAACACTTCATTTTTTATTCATCACTATATCACTGTACATATAAATTATTATCCGGAAAATCGTTTGGGGAGAAGCTATTGTAAACTTTTTTTTTTTGAAAATATAATCATAAATTAATAATTATCTAATTAAATTAAATTGAAACATGATAACAACAATTAAGACTTAGTTTTAAGCAAGTTTTTAATTTTACTCATAATATTTATACGTGTAATTAACGAATTATTTTACCGAATTAACTTGAACAAAGAAATAACTCATTTCCCCGTGTGCACTTTCTAACAGCCAAAAATAGATCGGTCGCTCCTGCAGACGATAGTAAGTTGTATGTTTAGTCCAGTATCCCGTAATTCATTAAAAGAAGATAAAGGGGAAAAAAGTAAAGAGAGAAAAAAGAGAGAAATGAAATAACATTAAAATGTAATAATTTATGTACATCAAAGCATATGAGACAAAGGTAAGTTACAAGGAATCTGACATAACATCGTACTAAATAAAAACATATGTCTCTGAATAATCTTTACGGTTTACATCAGTTCATGGAAATACCAGGCAGGTCGATTTATACATTACATGTGGAACAGTTTTTTTTTTTTTACTTATTATGTGATCATTTCAGTCTCTGTCAGATTTGACATCTTTATTTGATCAGACATTTTTTTTTAATTTTTAACTAGTAATGAGCCTGCAATTATTCTTTTTTATTATCTTCAGGGAATAAATTTCAGTACTCTTTGAGCTTTCGCAAGGAAATTTTAAATCTCTCTCTCTCTGAATTTTTGCAGTGAAATTTTATATCATAAATCCGTATTGATTTTGAGATCAAGAAATCAAAGGCCGAGGTCATAATTATATATAAATTCATATGTTACATAAAGTAATTTCAAATGATACCGTTAGTTTTCATAGAGGTTTTGCAATGAAACTTAAGGTAATGGATCTCTCTAACTGAAGAAAGACCCCCTATTGACTCTAAGGCTAAAAGGTGAAAGATCAAGGTCAATATTTATTTTCATTTTCAATCAGTATTTTTATGTCTTCCATCCTCTTATTTTGTACTTATGCGGTGGACATACCAAGTAAGTTCCCGGAATCAGCTTGTTTCATCCTTGCTCTTGTGATGTAAATTACAATTCCTGGACATACATGTACTATTATAGTTTTGATGTGATTATACGAGATATTAGTGGTCAGAAAAGATGTTTTAATTCAATTTGACAATTGTTCAAACTCCCATTAACAACTCTTTTTAATGCTTCTGCTGTTACTGGCAAGATAGTAATTTAATATTCACAATGATGATCAATATGAACTTAATATTTAGTTACCACATCAGCATGAGAAATAATAAACATTGATGGTGAGGATCTCCATAAGATTGTTTTCGTATAACGAATATTCTCCATTAGCCACCATGCTAGAGGTCAACCTAGTGAATTTCCTGATGATTAACCAAGATTCACACCTGATGATTAACCAACATTCACATGGAGGTTTAACCCCGAGAATTTTGTTTAGACACTGATCACTTACCTGATATCATTTATGTTTTAGATATTACTCATCTAACTGTATATAAAAATAGAAATATGTCATAGGATATGAATGCCCCGCCCCCAGGGTTCATTAGTACTGCAACATGAAAAGAAACGTACCTTGCTTCTCTGTTTAAGATTAGGGTAAATGAAGAATAGCAAGGTCGAGTTTACAGGGAAGGTTAAGGTCAGAAAATTATGACACAACTTGTATTAATTTACGAAGGTTGATGAAAATATTTTGAATATTTTCTTTTATATCAAAGTCAAAGGTCATAGGGAAGGTCGAGGTAAAATAAAAACAAAAAAAACAAAAAAAATGGACACAGTTAATAAGTTCTCACCAATATGTGTCAGTGCATGTGATTAGATAAAAATATGTTGAATAGTTTCGTTGAAGTTGGGCTATCAAAAATTAACGTAAAAGTCATAGAGAAGGTCAAGGTCAACATTTTTTTATGCAGTTGAATAGCTCTCACCAATATACAAAAGGAAAGTTTAATAGCACTCATCAAAATGTATTTATTTAGCATATGGAGTTTGATAAAAACATCTTGAATAGATTCTTTTAAACTGAGCTAAATGCAAAAAAAAATTGACAGACGGACAGACTGAAAGATGGAAGACGGACATGACAAACACTATATGTCCAGGTCATATTCATGGATCGGCATAAAAATACTCAAGTATTTTATTATTATAGTATTAACTCAAATACGCATAGTAGTTTTCCTTTCTCCGATATCAGCACTGGGGTATACTCTTCGCATTCGTTACACCTGACAGCTTTCTTGTCATGGGTACGAACAATTGATTTTGCAAAGAAAAAAAAAGAGAAAAAAAAAGAAAAAAAAAAGAATAAATAAAAACAAAAAAGTACTAAAATACAAAACAAACAGCTTAAATTAAATCCAACAGATTCGATTGCAAAATCAATAGACTCCGTTGCAAAACGAACAATCACCGATGCAAAACAGTCATTCACCGTATTGACGCTATATATATATATATATATATATATATATATATATATATATATATATATATATATATATATATATATATATATATATATATATATATATATACATGTATATATATATATATATATATATATATATATATATATATATATATATATATATATATATATATATATATATATATTAAACAATCACTAAATGTGGTTTACGTGTAGCTCCGTAAACAAATTTCTCTGGTCCTTCCACTCTACTGGTACTGGTAACTCCTGACACTTCCCCCACCCCACTGGTATGCCACCTGCCCACCTCTCTTCTTCCTCAGGAACTGCCTTATTCATGTCTTACGACTTAGCTTGTTTTATAACTTAACAGTCTATTCCCCAAACTGTATGCCTTATTCAGGTCTTATAACAATATACCTGTACAATAGGATAAACAGTTAAAGCGACAGTACCGCTGCAAAACGTGTGTTTTTCAGACAAATTTACCCAATATATCATTAAGAAATGAGGTATAAAGTTGATGTCAACAGTTTGAGAAACATGAATATTCTCTCCTCGAACAAAATTAACGTAATTAGAATATGCTGGAAATCCAAGGGTGGTACAAACCGGATCAATCTTAGTTCTGTTTATTTGTACCACGTGAAATCTGAATGACACGTGCCTAAACTGTATAGTTTACAATTATAATGGAATATGAGGTAAAAGCAATTCTCAAAAGCAAAATATTATAACTTTTCCGATAAAATATTAATCGGGAACTGTTTAATCTCCTATCACACGAATTTTAAAAAAATAAAAAAGTACAAATATTGACGTTTTTTGTATTGGGGTCCGAGAAGGGAAAAATCACCAAATCATGCGTTATCGCGGCACAACGTCAAAAATATTTTCAGGACAGTAACATTAAAATTTGCACTTTATGGCAATAATATTTATATGTCATAGGTGTTGAGTTTACACTGCTTTTTTCTTTGAAAGCGATGGAGATATGAGAAATGATACCATGTATCAACAAACCCGTCGAGGAGAACCTTCGCGAGCCCTGTGTGAATCTCGCCGAGCTCCCGTTTCTTCCTCCATCAACGATTATATTAACCCCCAAGTAAAATTTGGTCAGGAAATTCGCTTTTTCAGTTTTTTTCTTCTTGGTCTACTTTGTCAAGGTAGCAGGCCTACCAGGCTACCCCTCTTTTACCATGCTGTTTTGTTTATGATAAGTACGCATGCGTGAATGGCATGGAATGTGGAACCCCTAACACGTTGTAATGTATATATTTATGGTCCATAGATAATTATTAATTTTAATGAAATAATCGAAGTTATTTAGTTATGAAACTTGTAACTTTCTGAAAGTTTATACATTTATGAGTAGTAAATAAATGCCAAATCCTATCGGAAAATGTTATCAAGTCTGTTTTTTGATAAGATGCGCCGTACTGTCTCTTTAAGGTTTACAAATCCGTCACCAGATCCTTCACACTATACAGAGTTTTTATCGCAGTGCAGTACTCGAACATTGGCAGTTTCCACAAACTTAAATGGTTATAAAATTAATAAAGTGTTTTAAGAAATTACGTATTCAAACGTTTTGACAAAACTAATTTACAAAACTATGGCATGTCAAGCGTTGCAATATTCGATCTTTTCCATTTGTATAGTTTAATTTTCCATTTATATTCTGTAATTTTACATTTGCATTGTGTAATTTTCCATTGTATTGTATAAATTAAATGTTTATTTGTATTGTATAATTTTTCATTTGTATTCTATAATTTTGGAAAATTATACAATGCAAATGGAAAAGATCGAATATTGCAATGTTTGACATGCCATACTATGGAAAAACCAATCCCGTTTCACTTTTAATGTTTAAAGTTGTTTTTCCTATGCTGGCCTTTGATAAACAGCTAGTTCTTTATACCCCGTTCGTTTATCAGTTTCCCTGGACATAACAGCAGCAGAACAGTTTCCAATGACTATTTCTGCTGTAGTGTAAACAGTGACGTCACTGATGACATGACCTCCAAACACATTCCCTTCACTGTCGCTAAGGCTTATGTGAAGATGTCCTCCGCCTGACAGAGTACCCACTAACGAAACAATCTCAAAAGGTCCATCGTATGTCTTTATCTGTGGAAGATAAATTACAAAGAAGCTACTTAAAAAGAACACGCACTACAGTACCAAGTCTATGTACCCTATCCACAGGCACTTGTTTCGTATACGGGGCACCCCTACTTATTTTTACCACAACGTACCTAACTCAGTTTCAGGCACCCCCTCTTCAAGCTCGTATTTTGTTTATATATCAATCATTAACCTACTTTCAAATGACATCGTTCGCTTCGAAAGACTTTTTTCTTGTCAAATTAATTGTTTCGGACGTCTCTGGTCGATCCTCTTTATTGTGAACCGCTCATTTCTTCCTGGAAAATTATCTCAATATGAAATAAGACTACGAATGGAATACATTGACTTCCGGTTGGGGTTATAAAAGTAGGATAAGTCCAGAGACTTACGAGTATTCCTTTCCGAGGTCTCTGGTTTTATCCTTCATTTATAACCCAACCGGAAGTCTATGTATCTTATTTTGTATCGAGATAATTTTCGAGGAAGAAATGAGCGGTTTCCAATAAAGAGGATCGACCTGTGACGCCCGAAACGATTAATTTGACAAGAAAAAAGTCTTTCGAAGGGAACGATATCATTTTAAAGCAGGTTAATGATTGATATATAAACAAAATACGAGCTTTAAGCGGGGGTGCATGAAATTGAGTTAGGTACCTTGTGGTAAAAATAAGTAGGGGTGCCCCGTATACGAAACAAGTGCCTGTGACCCTATCCCATTAGTTTAGATTCCTGATATTCAATTGTGATTTCTCGATAAATGTCTATTTCATATTTTTGTCATTTGATTTTGTAAAAAATATAAAGCTCAGTATTACGTGTTCAATTCTGGAATACTTCAAAACGAAAATAATGTTTGCTATCGATCCATACCGATGTTCTAACAAGTATATATTGTGTCTGTGACATGCTGGAATTTTAAAGAAACAGTGACACAAAAACGGGAAAACTGAGAAAAAAGTAGTTTTTGCATGACTCATGCATATTTTGTTCAATTCTTGATAGTATTAGGTTTCATTAAATTGCAAGTTTCAGAACCTAAAAATTCTTCTATTACAAAGAAAAGATACTGTTTTGCCTATCACAAAAATACTTCTTTACCCCCCCCCCCTTCCTGATTGTGCTCGTGCGCAGAAAACATAAACGAGTCACCATGGCCTCAACTCAAGTCCCAGAAGTGGAATGTCAGTAGACTAATAGAGAATTTTGAAAGAATCTGCGAAAAAATATATTTGAAACATATTCTTTTCTTTGCATACTCCGAATCCAGTTTAAGTTACAGGGAAATAAAATTGGTATTGGTTTGTATACAGTAACTCGATAACAAAGATGCAGTTGATGCAAGCTTTGTTTTCCCGGCTTTTATTTATTGCAATCTTTGCGGTGCAGTTGAGTTTGCCAAACCTTCGCTATCCTCATATTTTCGATTTTTGTTACAAATGTCCTATATTAAATATATGATTTTTGACACACTGTGTCTCTTTACTTTAATACCGTTTTACTGTCAGCCATTCTCAGCGTTGCTTTAGTGACACTTCCAACACAAGTAAGGATAAAGGCTGCAGACAGTTTGTTATCCTCCACAAATCTAATTAATCCTTCTTTAAGGTCAGCACCAGGCTCAAATCGCATCGGATAACAGGTCAGTGGACTGTGCATTGCCTCCGTTGTCTTTAACAGATAATAAACAAATAACTTTGTACTAGTAATTAAATTACATGTATAAAATTTACGACTTATATTACAGTAAAAACTAGACACAGGTCCGTAGGAAACAATTTCGGTTTGGAGGGGGGGGGGGGTAGTATATATTGGAGGAGGCACAACCGTAAATTAATTAGCTTTGTTCTCTATAGTGTAATATATACTGATTAATGAGGGGGCAAAATGTAAATTAGTTTTGTTTTCTATGGTAAAGTATAAAGTGGCAAAATTGATTGAATCGATTCCTATGAGCCTGCAATTAAATTTTTAAATGCAGTGAAATTGACATTTCTTTCAATAAGCATATGGCAGAAATAGTACATGTATATGAACATGTATATACAGCTACAATGGTGTATTGGCATCTTTGAACTCTTTAAAAATATCAAGTAAAACAAGATGTGTTTTTGAAACACTGATGCGCCTGTATAACAACTTTTGGCAAAGATTGAAGTTTCTCAAATACAAGTCAAACTCCATGGTCATGAAAAATGTTGTTTCCCAAAGAAAGTATTTGTTCTCAATGAATATACATGTGAAATATGAAAGCCCAAGCACTAACCATTAAAAAGTTATGGTCAAGGTTAAAGTTTTCAAAATGTGGGTCAAAGTCAAAGGGTCAAATTAAAGGTACCCAGGGGAAGGCATTGTCATAAGAAATACATGTGTGGAATATGAAAGCCCTTGCACCAACTGTTCAAAAGTTATGACCAAGGTTGAAGTATTTGAAAAGAAGGTCAAACTCCAAGGTCAATGTCAAAATTGTTGGTATCCAAAGGAAGGCATTGTCACATGGAATATACACCTGTGAAATATGAAGGCTTAGTACTAACTGTTCAAAAGTTATGTTCAATGTTAAAGTTTTTTGAAAGTGGGTCAAACTTCAAGGACAAGGTCAAAAATATTTATATCCTTGGAAAGGTCTTATCACAATGAGTATACATGTGAAGTATGAAAGCCCTAGCAGCAACTGTTCAAAAGTTATGGCTAAGGTTAAAGTTGGGTAAATTCTTGCAAAATTGGGTCAAACTCCAAGTCAAGGTCAAGAGGTCAAATATGTTGGTACCCAAAGAAAGGTCCTGTCACAAGGAATACACATGTGAAACATGAGAGCCATAGCTCCAACGAATCAAAAGTTATGGGCAATGTTAAAGTTTTTGTGGACAAACAGATAAACAGACAAACGGACGGACAGGGCATAAACTATATACTCCAGTACCCCAACACTAGCTAAAGTGACAAACTTCCATATGAAAATGGCAGGAGTAAAAGTCATTGGAATGTCGGGTTAGAGAAACTGGTGCAATCAAGAAAACAATTGCAAAATAAAATGTTTTTATTTGTATTTTATACTTTTTTAAATATCTTCAGCAATCAGATTATATTGCTTGTTTGATTCTAAAAGATTGTGAAATTTAAAACTTCTGTACATGTATTTTATTAAATAAAATATTTCCGGGGTAATGCTGGTTAAATGAAACACACTTCTTAATATTTATTATAACCAGAAATGTCTTTCATACTTTTTTGGTAAAATATGAAAAAAATGTTTCGTATGAATGGTAAAAAAACCCTCGACATTATTTACAGTGTTACATCTTACACAATACTAGCATTATAATGTAGCTCTAAGTTTTTGGTACTGTTACAGTTAACAGAGCTTTAAAACGCACCTGCATTCTGCCGCGGAACTCCGGAGTTGGAACTCCGGGAAAAGTTGTATGGTTATCCATAACGACCATTTTTCATTTTGCTTGATTTTCACACTGATCAACGCACAATCGGCTATTCGGTTGTTATTGGGCATTCGGTGAAGCTCAGAAATGTTGCGATGTTTTTATTAATGTGACAAGTACATGTATGAATGGCAATAATTAAAACTCTTATATTTACTAGTTGTATTCTAATATAAAATTTTGGAAATTGTAATAATAAAACTCGATCGCATTATTGTCGGCTGGCAGAGAGCTAGATGCACGCAATAATTTCTGAATTTAAAGTATATAAAAGGAAATTACCAAATACACTGTACATAGTGTTTAAACCAGTTCGTAATGGCGACCATAAAACCTTTGAAGTTATGACCTATTTTTGTATTCATACGAAGCAGAATTTATTCAAAAACTTCTACATGAAACGAAGAAGTCTCTTGCTGTGGCCTTCAGTTCAACATTTAGATATACATGTATATCGACGACATTTTATGTATTATTTAGAGAACGAGACAGGTACTGTATCATCAATACAAATTTGGGGGTGGACGAGTGCGAAGCACGAGTCTCCGCCCCAAAATTTGTATCTACGATGCAGAACCTGTCGAGTTCTCTAAATGATTTGTGACACGATCAATCAAAAAAAAAAAAAAAAAAAAAGCACCGCCCACTTCATACCTGTGCAGCATCCAAACTTCCGCCAGAGTTCGTTTGTTCTTTCTGTAGATGAGGCCTCGACGGGGAGTATACATCCGCAGTATATATATTTCCACGGACAACGGAAGATTTAGTCAGATTAGTTTTGACAACAGGGTAGACGTAACAGACTCGAAGTCAGTCTTAATTGATAAGGTGGACGATTTAACCTTGTTGTAAATGGAGATTGATCCCAATTTATTTCAGGGGTCTTAAAATCTCAGTTAAGCTATAGATCTATATACATACAGGCGATACAGACAGTTTTTCGATGGACTTTGATGTAACCGATTTTTATTTTCTTATTGAAATGCGACATTAAAAACGAAGTGAAAGAGATGTGCGGCAGTCGTCAGCGATAAGGATTTAAGATGAAATTAAAAAATACACTGAAAAATGGAGTTAATTGAGTTTGCACGAGAAGAGTGGAAAATGGGGGGAGGGGGAGTGCGAATTTCACGTAATGTATGCTGCATCCGCGAACTCATTGGCTTTACTATTTTGGAGGGGACACAAAAAGCAGGGAAAGCAAACAGGTTTTCAGGAATTTCTCAAACATAGGATGTTTTCCATAATTGCGAATTTTCCTTTTCGTTTGGATCGAAATAACGTGTAGATTCTGTGTGGAATAATTTTTTTTAAACGTAATTGAGAAATTTTGACATTTTACATTCCTAAGGAAATATTTCTTCAAATTTATAATAGGAAAATAATCAGCATTTACTATTTGTACGTGCTTTTGATAAATTGAATGAGATTTATTTTTAGATACAGAACAGTTGGCTAATACAAGACAGTATACAGGGCTAATACAGAACGGAAAGTAGCTCCCCCCACTGTATTTCCGTTCTGTATTGCTAATACAGAACAGCAAACTTCAAAGAAAAACACCGCAATCGTGTCACAACAATTAAAACTATTCATTTAAAATCCCTCGTTGATTCGATATATCCCTTATAACTTGATATAAAAGACACTACAGAATCTGACACAACTGTTTCATATTTGGATATTTTAGTAGAGGAAGACATTAATGGCAAACTATCAACCAAACTTTGAGAAACGCGATAACTTCAACTTTCTCTCGTCAATCTCCCTTTTTTATGTAGCAATATACTATTATTACCTGCATATGGAGTTTATGTCTCCTGGTTGATTCGATACGCAAGAGCATGTTCTACGTGCGAACGATTTCTAAAACGAGACAAGCTATTGACAAATAAGTTGTTGATACAAGGATAGCAACAGTCTCGTTTCAAGTCCGTATTTTGCAAAATCTATGATCGATACAATAAGCTTGTTAGCAAATATAATTTATCGTTTAGTCTAATGTTGACCAACGTTTTTCATACAAAATGTTAGGCTATTACTGAATTATCGGTGGATTTTTCCGTTTTCCGGATCATTACAAGGAGGGAGTATTACATGGCAAGGGGTCTGGGTACCGCCGAGGTCCCCAGCAGGTCACTGTCCGGTTTGGGCGGGAGGGGAAGCCCTCTAAGCTCCTGAAAATCGGCTAATTAGAATTCGTCATTTTGACTCGTAATTAAGGACATACGCAACGTAGTTTGAACTTTATTGTCTTTTTTCATGGAGTTGAAGAGTTCCAATACTTAAAGGATCTGTGTATTACATTTTAATGTCTATATATGCTGTTGTACACTTCTCCTAAAAGAAGTTTGGATAAACAAAACATCTATAATACATGTTTAGTAATTTTTATATATTTTTCTTTGAATTATACAAAAATTTTCATCTACTGATGTCTTTTCAAAACCCCTGGTAATGCATGCTGATTTTTTGTCTACGAACATCTGATGGCACTATAATCTTACAATAAAAATATCTTGAAAAATTATCAGTAGGTAAGGTACCTTGCGTATGTCCTTAAATGACTGTAATTTTACCTTCAATGTATGACAGAGAAATTCCGTATTTGATTTTTTTTGGTCTTCTTATTTATGTTTTTATTACATTCATTTTTTTTAATTTTATTTATGTATACAGTAGTTTATGACGGCAAAGATATGAATTTAATAAAGGTCGTAAATTTTGTTGTAGACGTAGGCGTTAATGTATATTGCTGGTTAATTTAAAATGTGCTCGGTCCTGTCATAACAGAACTCGGGCTTTCAAAATTTATGGGTAACATGTGAACGTAGTCGGCACGAGTTTGATTTTTAAAAAATTAGGTTTTCTTGCATTACTGGGAACAGTAGGCCTAAAACTAAGCTAAAACGTGTTGTCATCTGGAAAACGGAGTATGCTATGAGGTTAGATCCAACTCACAGGTGCCTGGGTCTTTGTATATTATTATACATCTATGATTTTTCACTATGTAAAATTAGATCGTTAGACAGTTGTAACGGCGGATGCGTCACTTGACTGGTGCGGCTGCGCTCAGCAATTATGACGTAAGTTGTCTATACCCTCACAATAGTTCATATAATATGGAGTATATGCAACAAGGGACGGTTAGTTGTGCAAGTCAAGTTACATGTCAGGAATTACTGGATATCGCGATTACCTAACGGTGCATGTAAGAAACCTACATCCCTATGGAACGCCAAATTAACATATATTCAAATATTTGAACCTATCTTCAATTGATTGTACCTATCTTCAAATCAATTGTACCTATCTTTAATTCATTTGAAGATAGGTACAATTGATTTGAAGATAGGTACAAATGCCATGAATTAAAAATAGGTATAATTGATTTAAAGATAGGTGCAATTGAATTGAACCTATCTTTAATTATAAAGACACTGACAATAACAACTATTCCCCATAAAATGCTTTGTTCGGTTCCCTCCATGTTCAAGTCGCTGTTAGAGGGAGCTCTCATTATTTTCTATAACACAAAACGAATTGAACCTAGGTATAATTGAATTGTACCTATCTTCAAATCCTTTGTGGATATGTTTCAATTGTACCTATCTTCATATCAATTGTACCTATCTTCAAATCAATTGTACCTATCTTCAAATGAATTAAAGATAGGTATAATTCGATTGAACCTATCTTTAATTGAATTAAAGATAGGTGTAATTCCATTAAAGATAGGTATCATTTATTTGAACCTAGGTTTAATTATTTAGAGATAGGTATAATTATTTACACCTATCTTTAATTCATTTAGACCTATCTTTAATTCAATTGTACCTATCTTTAATTCAATTGTACCTGTCTTCAATTCATTTGGAGAGAGGTACAATTATTTGAAGATAGGTACAATTATTTGAAGATAGGTTCAAATATTTGAATATATGTTAATTTGGCGTTCCATACATCCCTGGGGACAACGTGCTTGTGCGAGATAAGGCTCTGGGGCCACGAGATGAGCCGACTTTTGATCTCAGTCTCACTTTTACCATGTTTACAAAATGAATATAGTGGAAAAGTGAGACCGAAATCAAAAGTGAGCTCTAGCCTGATCACTGATACATAGAATCTTTTAGAATTAACACATAAGAAAGCAGTCTTAGTGAAATTTTGTGAACCACTCTAATGAAACGTAAGCGGAAGTAGTCATCTTGTATTACATTTTAATTGATATTTTCCGCTACCCCCCCCCCCCCTTTAATTCAGTTCCAACTCTTACTGATAATCGTTGCGTTTTGAGTTTGATAATCGTGAGTTAATTGCAATGCTAAGTAAAATGCCGAACTCCGACAGAAAAGAAAGCACTGATGATCTCTAGCAATTACTCTTTATTGTAATGTATTTTGTCTAATTTCCTGTATGTTTTTAGATAACAGAAAACACATATATATTACAATGTATATTTTATATATATATATATATATATATATATATATATATATATATATATATATATATATATATATATATATATATATATATATATATATATATATAACATTTTATAACATTTTCAAATGATAACAAATTTGCGGGTAACAATGTTCTTAGGATTTAAAGGTCACATTTTCTAATACTGTTTGTACTTCAGTTTTGAAATTTAGACGTTGATATTCAATTATTTTTCCTGTAACAACAAATAATATTACATATTTGCAAATTCTGAATTTTTCAGTTTTTCTGCGATAGGGAACAAGATATCAGTTGTCCAATATTTCTTTCCACTTCGTTCTGTGTTAGGCTACTGGTGCCACGGCATTAAAGAGCCCTTCTTTGCAGCATTTCTCTTATGATCTCCCTCATAAAACGGATTTCGGGCGTGTTCGGTATCCTGGAACCGATAAAAAAAAGATCAGAGGTTTATGAATCACCATTAATTAACATTTAGCAACACAACAATGAGGATTGTGCACATGAATATTCTAATAGCAAGCTACATGTGATGAGGTTATATATGCATAAACTTTACATAATAGTCATTTATAGTTCCTAAATTGCCAATGCATCCGTCAGCAAAGAAATAAAATATAAAATAAAAATAAATAAAATAAATTTTTTTCCCTAGACTTTCACCCAAAGACTAAAAAGAGGTCTATATTAGTAAAATTTATTGTATACAATGTGGTATTAAAGAGGGTGTTTATGAAGCGATAATTAAGCATGATAATACTAAATAAGCGGCGATTATTATTTAAAAAAACAAACCAAAAAAACTTTTATTCTTCATGTGCTATTATTTCTTTTTAACTTGACAATTTTATAAAGGAATAATGAACATTTATCCAAGTTAGAGTTATCTCTCTTATATGGGTATTCAGTGAGCCTTAAGGTAAAAGGTCACTAAAATCGTTTTTAGTAGGAAATATGATCTGACATTGCTATAAAATACATATTAGTATAGAGGCAAATGAAGAGTATACAAGCCAATTTTACCAAATATAAAGAAAACATAATGTCCTCCTTAAAAACAATACGAGGTCACATTTCTTCGTTTTCAAGTTTCATACAAAAAATTCTCTCATCTATACCGTGTAAAGATGAGGGAATTAGTAATAACAGAAAAGGGAAATAACTCCATCTTTCAAGTACATTATTTACATTAGTATAAAATGGAATGGTTGAATTTGTACATCTCTTACAATACTCACTCTCTTTTTGATCATGTGTGGAGATTTTTTAGCCACTAAGGATTTCCTCTTGTCATTTGTGGACAGAAAGGCGTTATTTTCCTAGTGGAAATTTTGTACAAAAAAATTAAATCTTAAAGAAGTGAGTATTAATAGGGATTTACAAGAAATCGACGCAACAACATACGAACTGTGAGAAAATTAACGGACAAATTGACACTTACCATGTTTCCTAGCTGGTCAATCACACTGTCCAGCGAGGATCCGGACTTGGTACTGATTCTACTGTCTGACGGACAACTAAACATATGCTCTTTGTCGCACGGGCATTCCTGTTGTTTCATCAGATTTCTGTTGTTGTCCGGAGTGTTTTCGAAATTTTCTACGCAGTTATCATCCGCTGAAATATTCCACATTTTTGTAATAAGCTCTTTTATTTTCAATAATATGTTTTGCATACGTTAAGTGATACATTCATGTCGATTTACCAATCGCTCTTACAGCTACATTTCTTATCGATAGGGGACTTTAGAATGAAATAGGGGTGGGACACGGACCTCGGGCAAATTTAGGCTTAAATCGATATAACTCTCGTTAATTTTTTCTACCAAACCAAAGTTCAACGAGTCAATCTTCCTTCTAGAATTGCGAAAATCCTACTTTGGGTTGGGGACCTTTATATTCGTGATGCCATTTTATAGCATGCTTAAGATTAACTTCCTTATGCATACATCTTTTATACGTCAAAATATAATTGTACATTAAAGATACGAAGGTTGGTTGTACATATTTAAAGAATCCATGTCACTTTCATCAAGGTGGCACGTCTTTAGGAAAAAGGTGATACTAGGGTATCAAAAGTTCACTGTTCTAGTTGTAAAATACAGGCAGTACGCACCTGTGTATCCTATGGGGCAAGGATTGGGCGGGTTGCAGTAGGCGGGCAATACTTTGTCTGTTTTGACCTGCTTGGGATTGTCTTTTCCGTCACCAGTTCCTCCTGTAAAGTCATAATGGGAAGTAATAAGATTTTTTTTTCCTTTTCAACTTGCATATGAAGTGTTTTTTCCATCAGTACAAAGAAATAATAACACATGAAGAATAACTTTCATACATTGAAAGTCTTCAAAATCTTAAAAGAAAATGAAATGCAGTTTTTTGGGGTATCTTTTTTTTTATGCCCCTGGATCGAAAGATCCCGGGGGTATATTGTTTTTGTCCTGTCTGTCTGTTTGTCTGTTTATCTGTTTGTCTGTTTGTCGAGACTTTAACCTTGGCCATAACTTCTGAACAGTTGGTGCTTGGGGTTTCAAACTTAACATGTGTATTCCTTGTGACAAGGCCTTCCTTTGCATACCAACAAATTTGACCTTTTGACCTTGACCTTGGACTTTGACCTACTTTTGAAAAACTTTAACCTTGGCCATAACTTTTGAACAGTTGGTGCTTAGGGTTTCAAACTTCACATGTGTAATCCTTGTGACAAGACCTTCCTCTGGATATCAACCACTTTGACCCTTTGACCTTGACCTAGGAGTTTGACCTACTTTTGAAAAACTTTAACCTTGGCCATAACTTTTGAATGGTTGATGCTAGGGCTTTCATACTTCACATATGTAATCCTTGTGACAAGACCTTCCTTTGGATACCAACCACTTTGACCCTTTGATCTTGACCTAGGAGTTTGACCTACTTTTGAAAAACTTTAACCTTGGCCATAACTTTTGAATGGTTGGTGCTAGGGCTTCCATACTTCACATATGTAATCCTTGTGACAAGATCTTCCTTTGGATACCAACCACTTTGACCTTGACCTTGACTTTTATTTAAAAAACTTTAACCTTCGCCATAACTTTTGAACAGTTGTATCTAGGTCTTTCAAATTTCACAGGTGTACTGTGGAATCATTTAAATTCGTGGGGGTCAATGTTCGCGGGCAAGCAAAATTTTGTTGGTACGTGGGGATGTAATTTCGTGGGCAGCTCGTTTATTTGGTAGATTTAATTAATTAGTACGTTGACAAAATAATTGTTCGTGGGGATGTAAATTCGTGGGTAAGGGTTACCCACGAAATCCACGAACATTGATCCCCCACGAACAATGATGATTCCACAGTATTCCTCGAGACAAGACCTTTCTTTGGGTATCAACATTTTTTATCTTTTGGGCTGGATTTTGACTTGCATTTGAGGAACTTTAACCTTCGCCATAAGCTGCCATACGGGGGCATCAGTGTTTCACAAACACATCTTGGTTTTTTTTAGTTTTTCTCTGTCATTTGTGGCACCGTTTAAAAAATCTTACTTTGTCCGTTGTCTGTCTTTCGAAACTAACCAATTTTTCGATCTTTGCTCCAAAAGCATTAGTCCATTTCAGTTGACAATGCCAGTTACAAATATGAAGCCAAACCTTTATTACCTGCAGAACCATAGCTCTCTAGAAAAGAACATTTGGAGAGACGTACTAGAATTCTCTGGTATCTGTCCGAATGTTCTTTCCCAGAGAGTTACATATACACTTCTGAAGCATGTTCTTTCCGGAGAGCTACTTCTGTACAAATGTTCTTTCCCGGAAAGCTACAGTTCTGCAACTATTGCCTTTTATAATTCTAGTGTTTGTAACATTTAATTTTTACCTCGTTGCATGGATTTTAGCTGAGGCGAGATGGAAACTCTTTCAAGAAACAAAAGTTAAGCCGAAAAAACAATTTGTAAAACCAATGACCAAGGTATGAATTATCAGACCTACTTCTCCAGGTATTTTAACAGGTTGGGACCAATCGCCCAAATGGGATATAATAGCCCGATTGGAATATAATATCCCAAATGGGATATAAATTTAAAATCAAAAAATGAAAATTTTTATCTTGGCTATAAATATCATAAATCCGCATCAAGATACTTATAAAGGAATAACTTTTGGCTAACAAGTTTTTCTGTATAACCACTGTTTAAGAGATTGATCCCTCGGAAGTTCGTAAACTTCTTGGGGATCAATCTAACAACCCGTAGGGTTGCAGAAAAACGTGCTTGCCAAAAGTTATTTCTTTTAAAGTATTTTGATGCGGATTTATGATATTTATAGCCAAAATAAAAATTTTCATTTTTTTTGCACTGTAAATTTATATCCAATTTGGGATATTATATCCCAGATAGGTTATTATATCCCATTTGGGCGATTGTTCCCAACCTGTTTAACTATTTTTTATGTCAACAAATTGACCTTGAAAGAATTAGATTCAAACAGTATGTATATGGTTCCAGTGTCACAGAAGGTCACAGTATCAAAGTTTTGCAAATGAATGCACGAGGCAGTTTAAACACATTGGTCGCAAGAACGACAATAACTTTAATATAGCGTCTCCATATGAGTGAAAAATTCTCGAAAGGGACCTTCACCAATAAACAAACAAACAAAAACTTTAATATACGGGTATTCTTGTGAGGTATAAATTCTTTAGTTACATAACAACTGATCCCACCTCTGTTGGTCCACGTTGGCTCTGTTCATAAATGGGACTTTTGAGAATGATAACTGTTCATTATCTTCACATTTCATTTTTACGCCAATACTAATATTGATGGGCCACTAATAGAGATGCAATGCGCGTTGTGTCCAGATACGAACCATTTAAAATCAATGTTATCCAAGAAATTCAATATGAAATGTCATTTCAATTTCTCTTTGGTCTGACACTCTGTGACGCTTAGAGTTATTGATCGACTCCCTCAAACATTTTCATCACACGGAATAGTATTGGATAACCAATCAAATATCTATCTGTGTCATCCATGACAGAATGAGTAAGCTTGGCAAAATTTATTCTTATAACAAAACCATTAAAATATATATGACCCACCAGACACAGACTGATACCCCCAAAGGGGACTGTTCTCTTGGTATTCTTGATCTCTGATGGAAGCTTCGCTGAAGATGTCGTCGTTAAGTGTGGGCTCCTGATATCCGACATTAGACCAGTCCTCATTAGGAGAACTTCTGCTCTCCAGGTCGTAGTAGCCATTGTCCAGAGCACCTCTTAAGTCTTCTAGGGTGTACATTTGACCAAGGTCTGGCCAGCCCATGGGCCCGCCATGGGAAATTTTGGCCTCTAGCACCAGGAATGATGTGGCCAGAACAGTCAATATCATTTCAAAGGCCATGGTCAGACCTATACATGCAGATAAAACATACAATATTTATTAAATGTGTTCCTAAAAGAATACTGAAAAATCTCCAGAGATTTTTTTTCAAATCAAAGATACTGAAACGTATGAAGTTATTAAAAGGGTACATCCGTTTTCTTAGAACTTAAGTTCACTCCCAAATTTTTAACATTGTGAAGAGAGAGTAGACACGATATATATGTAGTTGTAAACTATTGTGGAGAGAAATCAATACAAATTGACTTCTACATCAGCATACACTTCTAAGAATTGTCCACTTTTGAAAACAAGAAATACAAAAGGTAATGGTGTATAAACCCATATAAATGGTTTTCTATAAATTCATATAATTGATTATTATTTTTTAATGAAACTATCTTACCTTCTAAGTTGTTGAGAATTTCACAGATTCCTCTTTCACAATGGCGCTGCTGTTTTCAGAGATGGATACGATCGATATATCCTATGACGTCCTTGCTTTTCTCACGTTGTGTAAAAGCCAGTTATATATATTGATTATCAATATTTTCTTTCCATTTAAGGAATACCAATGTATAAAATGAAATGATGCTTTGCTGGGAATAAGAGCGCGTAATTTTGAAATCTTTGGTACCTAACATTTTCGTTGAAAACTTTGAAGTTAGGATTTCAGGGCGAATGGGGCTACAAGAGGAGTACCAAGATAAGATTTCTTTTGCTAAACGACGTATGTTTGAAAAAGAGTTATTGGGGGAGAGACCCCCTCCTCTTAAGTTTCTACGAGCCTGCACTGGATTTAATGCTGCTGCTACTGTTTCTGCTTTTATTAAACAAATCATGGTAAGTTGATTAGCCTGATCATTTAAATTTTGAACTGGTGTTCAATGCTGCGCAAAATTTTATTGAAAATGCATTCACAAATATTGGTGACAGACAAACCACATCTCAATCCTCAATATACGACCACCTGGGACTTTACATCTATATTTTTAGAGAACTCCATTGCTCATTTTTTGTATATATGTGTTCAGGGAAAGAAAGGTTTCAAAAGATACGAGGATTGTCCGGTAAAATCGTGGACAAGTTGTCTAGAGTGAAAAATAATCATCATTTTTACTACTCTTTCGTACATTTTTCATCAATACACATAGAAAATTTCAAATTTCAAAAAAATAAATGCATAAATAAATTATGAGTTTTTATGTGTGTATGTATGGTATCGCCTTACGGCGCACGGATGATAACGTCAAAGGTCTAAAGCAGCGTCACGTTTCCTCTTTGCTAAAAAAGTTGGATAAGCCCCAGGTAAATTCGGGAATTTCATTGATGCACATACTTGAGTTTTCCTTTGCTCCTCCATAAAAGTTGAGGAACAATCTCGCACACACATGGGACCTTCTGAAAATTTGTTTAGTATAAAGTTATGGACGGTACTCTCACTATCATTCATCTTATGTCGACTGTCTACAGTGACAGCGATTTTCGCTATTGCCAGTAGCTGTTTTTCCGTATGTTTTGTTCTACCCGGGTACTCGATCAAAAAGATTTCGCTTAGAAAACTTCCATTTCACTTGTATACTAAAGATCTAGTGATATTTTTTATCAGCTGTAGTCATTTAAAGTCTCTCAGGGCGTCATGGCTACATTTAAATCAAACTGAACTGCTCTCCGGTGCGCCGTAACGTCATCAAACATCACCATTTTTCGTGTGTGTTAACCACTTACCCATTTCAAATGCTGGGAAACTGTCAAAAATTAAGCAAATGTCTGGAAATTTTCCAACAGACGACTTAATAGATAGTGAAATAAAAATAGGATAATTTTTTCCCCAATCTTCTCTGTTTAATATTTTTATTTCGAAATAGCACTTGTGTATTCTCCAATGAAACACTGGTTTTTGATCGTGCGCCGTAGGACCGTACCCTCTGCACATTGAAGCATAATAAAATCTTTATTTTTGGGCCATCTTTAAAATAATGTTTGCTTGTCCTCTCCCGACTGAGGGTAAAAAAAAATTGGGTCGGTACATGTAGATAGGTGAGAAAATCTTTTTTTTTTTCTAAAAAAAAAAAAAATTAAAATATGTTGACGGAATGGGAAAATTCAGGAATAAAAGGGAAAAATATCTTATTTTCTAGAGATTGAAAAAAGTTTTGAGTCGGGTCATTTTTAGCCAGTCGGTCGGGAGAGGGCAACCAAACAATTTTTTAAAGATTGCCTTGTCTATATTTTGTCCAAAAAATTAAGATGCAGATAAAGATTTGCTGAAAATTTCAGCTTAGTGCGCCCATTATTTTTCGATAAAAACGCTTTGTCCACGATTTTACCGAACAACCCTCGTATATTGCATTTTCAATATCTATGAACAACTTAGTATCCTGAGGTCGAGGGAATGAGGACATATATTTCAAAATTTCAGTTATTCATCGCAATCTTGAATACAATTTGTCAGCTAGCAGTCCAGCAGTAAAAAAAAAAAAAGAAATTCTCAACAATGTATTTCAACTTACAATTACATGAATGACCAATTATGCCATACCCTGGATCCAGGGGGTCAATTTTTCTTAAGTTTGGCTCAATACTTATTACAATTATGCAAGTTTACCCAAGCATTAGATGTTTGAAAACATTTTCATGTTACCCTCAGGACCTGAGGCAACAATACCATGGATGCTATTTACCAAATATGGTTCAAAAATGTTTGGGGAAAAGCTTAAAAATGTTCCAAAGTTTACAAATGATGACAGTTGCTTGGGTGGCACAGTGGTTTGAGCGTTTGCTTAAGAGTCGTGGGTGTAAGGAGTTGATCCTTAAGGGTTTGAATCCACTGTGTGACAGAGACCGGTCCTTTGGATAAGACCATAAAAACCAGGGTCCTGTGCTAGCACGAAAAAGATCTCTCACTGTTCAAAGGCTATAAGTGCTGAGTACTAGTCAAAATTTACAGCCCTCCACCAGCAAGTGGTGGCTTTTAATATGAGTGAAAATTCTCAAAGCAACATTAAACAAACAAAACAAAGGATGATAGATGATAACAAGTACTAGTATTGTCACAATAGTGACTCAGATGACCTAAAATGGAAAGCATCTAGTGGTTCCATGGGTCTTAAAAACAATGAAAATGAAATTGACAACTGAAATTTCTACATTATTTTCCCTATGTTATTCTGCACCTTGCCGGGGTGGGATGGGGGTGGGCAGGGTTCCAAATTTCATTTTGCAAAAAAGTTTAATCTTTCCATGTAAAGTTTGTCTATTTCAACTGTGTAGTCATTTTAAGAATTGGATTACCCTTATCCGATTATCCTTGAGGCCAGTTGCTCAAAATTGGCACTTGTTTCTAGAGAAGTAAAATTACAGCAGTCAAAATTTATAAAGAATAAACAGTAAACGGCAAACTTGGATAATAAAATTACTCCAGAGTCACCCAAACAATCTGATGAATAGTAACATGATGTGATCCTACTCTTTTATTAAAAAAAAAACCCCATAACATTCAGTGTTTCATTCATACATAAACATCACAAGCAGACATAACACTATCATGTAACACAATCATCTATCATGGGTTTCACTTAGTTTTGTGATATCATTTCTGTCCAGCACAGTTTTGGGCATGTCTCTCTTCGACTTCAGCATTGGTACATCAGTGACAGTCGGTTTCACCATATTGTCCAGTTTTCTGTCCAGCCGCTCATCCTGAATGCTTTCCTCCTTCCAGGGGGTTTCATTTCGACCCAGTAAATTCTCAAAATTGTATCCTATAAAACCAACCACCACTGCAAAAGGAAAAGCCACATATGGTGCATAGGTTCTTGCTGCTGCCATTATCACTGGCCACATTTTCTCTCATTAATTATGATCATCTGCAATAAAACGTGGACATTTATTAATATTGGCCCCCAGTAATCAGTGGTAATAATAGGCTGCAAGAATGGAGTTTGGAGTTGTGCTTGTGGTCTCCTTTTTTAGCTTAAATATTGGAGTCAAAGATCTAGTTAATACATATACATGTAATGCTGATGTAGTCCTGAGGATAGGGTCTGTAGTTAACACTTTTGTAACATATACAACTATATTTAGTTGACTTTAACTAATTTACTAATAAATGACTTTGTAAGACTTGGCTTTGGGAGGTAACTTCCCAAGACCTCTGTACAAACACTGATGTTAGAGAGTTTGTCCACAGATATGCTGTAGTACCAACACAGCAAAATACAAATCTACCTATAAGCTATATAAATAATGCAATCACAGTAATGAAAACTTATTGCTTTCTTCAGTAAGTCTCTAGATCCTTAAAAAAAAAGGGGGGGGGGGGTTCAACAGATTCAGTTTTCACAAGTTGAAGAAAAATGCAGTCTACACACAAAAGCAACCAAGAAGATATTGGAAGTGTTTTAAAATTAGTACCCATTCATACAAGTTTTGTGTATTTTCTCTGCACTCACCTGACCAGTGCCTTTTTGCAGAGCAGTAGAAACATAACAGAGCATTACTTATGTCTCTGAGAGAAGGTAAGGTGCCGAACTATTATCAATTGCAGTGAGCTCTATAAACTAACATGCGAGAATAGAGGAAAATCGGTATGAAATCTGTACATTTGTGATGCAAATTTTTGTGCCACACTATTAGCAATTGCAGTGAGCTCTATAAACTAACATGCGAGAATAGAGGAAAATCGGTATGAAATCTGTACAGTTGTGATGCAAATTTTTAGGGGTCATATGTAATGATATACTGTACAGATATACAGTATATTGCAATACACAAAAAATTTACCATGTCATGGTACAAAAACCATATACCTGTGTATCACAATATATAACATATTAAACAACTTATGCTATTTCTTTTTATTTTATGTTAATAAAGGTGATCTCTTATGCTGATTTTATTGGATTCAGAGCTTATCTAATGTTACATCGTGTATTTGTGAACTGAAAAAATAATCAACAACTTTTATTCTTTCACATCATGATAGAGAATTTCTCATTTCAAAACAGAGGTACAAAAATTACATGAAAAATTATGAAAGATGAAAATATCACAATACAGTCCCATGAAAAACCATAATATGCTTTAGCTGTATTGTTACACCCCAAAAATTTTGTGTGAAACCTTCAAAGAATTCTTCTGCTACCATGATTCCATGTGAAAATGGCAAATATAACAGTACAACAGTTTTCAAAGTTGATTCCTGCAGAGAGTTTAGAAGATGCAAAAAATAATTGCATCTACTCTCAGAAAATAAATGATGTCTTATGATTTAAAAAAAAGAAGAAGAACTATTAGACTGCACAATGGAAGTGCAACTAACATTCACCGCCATGTGAAGTCACAGTCTAGACGGAGTCTTGAAGGGTTTCATAAGGTGGATCAAAGTTAAAAGTGTAAGCTAAGTATTGGCAAGTTATGTAAATTTAACTTGCCTGACAGTCTAGTTAAACCCCCAAAATGGAGTACACAGAAAT